TAAAACCAACAGATATCTTGATTAAGTATATGTATTACTTTCTTCCAATATCGTTCACTTCTTTATAAAGCATACAAGATACCTTATGCTATTAATAAACACAGAACCATATCGCGTGATAATCTGCTACTAGCGACATCTATTTTTCACAAATAAAATTACAACACTTTATATTGATTTGTTTTACATACGAATCGTGAACAGTATGTACTAAATATTTGTTTTAATATTTTACTTATTTTGTGATACTCTTAAGTAAATAGTGAAATGTGAAGTTTATAAATTATTTATATTAAACTAACAAACGTTCATAGTTGAGTTTTATTTATTGTAAATTTTTGCGGGTACGACATACGTCTCGCGTACTAAAATGCACACCCCCATACGCCCTACAGTTGGGCATAGGTTTTCAATTACTGAAAGGGTTTTGAGCCGAGGAAGATTCTGCCGCGGCAATATATATGATGGAAGTATGGCATTGTGCTGTTTCGTATGATGAGTATAGAGAACCAGATACCCTGTTAACTAGTAACAAGCTAACAAAGAATTATACCATCTTAGTCCTTAAGGGATAAACGCATTTGCATTGTGATTCTTAAGCGGGGGAATTAAAATATGGTTGTCTCTGTAGGTTTCAGCCTCCGCTTACTTTTAACTAGCCTGTGTGCTTGTTTGTCATACTTTTATAAAAATTACTCAGGTCTAGAATCAATTTAGCCCTATATCTTCATGAGCCTAATAGTCCGCATAATAATCGAATTGACCGACCACAGTGTCGGACATCTTTTATTAAAATAACCTAAAAAATAATGTCATTCCGCTTAGTGTATATTCTATATAAAATAATATTAAGCAATATTTGTATTCTGAAGAAGTTTTCATCGCCGTTCTGTGTAATTACATCTAGTCGAAATACCAGTTGTATATACTGTCATATCTCGGAGATGTTCCGAAATTTCCGGAACTCGCCTCGTCCGTCACCATCGGGATGACACAGTTACCGGCGTTACGGCTTATTAAAAGTTCACTCCTGAAGATAGGTTTCCCCCATATATTGTCTCATTGGAGGATATTTGTCATAGTTGCCGTGTTTGGCAAGCGGGTTGGCAACCGCAGTTTTTTATTTTTTCGTTATTAGGAATTTGCTTTTTTTTTACTTATTATAAGCCAGTGCTTAACCACAATCCCATCTGGTGGTAAGTGGTAATGCAGCCTTAGATGGTAAATCGCACTGTCTTATCGTAACAAAAGCCTATTCACTCTTGCCTTGAAGACGCCCAGATTGTATTCGGACGGAAAGATTGACGCCGGCAAATTATTCCACTCCTTTGCTGTACGCATTACAAAAGACGAAGCAAACCGTTTGGTTCTAACGCGTGGAATATCGACAACAAAGGGATGAAGACCCGCCTGGTTGTCCGATGGTGGAAAGGAGAGCTTGAAATTAAAGCGTGTAATTCCTGCGCACACTCACCGAAATGCATCCTATAGAATACTGAGAGACTGGCTACTCTGCGCCTGTGCTCGAGGCTGACAAGATTGGTTTCAACCAAATCAAGGTCACCAATGAGCCTCTTAGCACGTTTCTCCACTGAGTCCAACGCTTCCAGGTGGCACTTTGCAACACCAGCCCATATGTGACAGCAGTACTCCATGCACAACCGGACTTGTGCTTTATATAAGGTAAGAAGCTGCCTCGGCGTGAAGCACCGCCGCACCCTTGCAAGGACACCAAGTTTCCTTGCGGCTGCTTTGGCTCTGGACTCAATGAACCGCCCATAGTTTAGGTTCGGAGAAAATTCAATTCCTAACAACTGAAGGCGGTCAGTGTACTCTAAGGATACATTCCGGAAAGTAGGAGCCAAGGTGAACGGGCTCCTTTTAGCGGTAAAAAAACACGCTTGTGTTTTGGAGTCGTTAAATCTTACGAGATTGGCATCGCCCCATTCGGAGACTGCCTGTAGCGTGAGACTCACACGCTCAACCATAGCCTCTCGTTCTGACTGGATTTGATCCCTATGGCTCGGGCACTTGGTTGGTATACCCATAGATACCGGAAATGAGCAGATCATTTATATGTAGCAGGAAGAGAGTTGCGGATAGAACGGACCCCTGAGGAACACCGGCGTTAGTCGTCACAGTACCGGATGAGCAGCCAGCGACGACGACCCGGAGAGACCGTTCACTCAAAAAGTCCTTCACCCAGGTAATCAGGCAAGGGGATAAGCCGTACGCTGAAAGCTTGCCCAATAGACTAGCGTGCCAAACCCTGTCAAAGGCTTTCAAAACATCGAGGGAAACAGCAAGTGCTTCACCACTGTTCTCGAGGGCTTCGCCTCATATGTGAGTAGCATACGCTAGAAGGTCCCCAGTTGATCGATTTCGGCGAAACCCGTACTGGCGATCACTGAGAAGATAATTTTGCTCTAGGTATGCCATGAGGTGGGCGTTCAATATACGCTCCATAATCTTGCAGAGTGTGGAGGTAATTGAAATTGGCCGATAGTTGGCAGGGTCGGCTACCTTTTTTAGGCACAGGCTGTGTGCATTGGCCAGATTCCAAGATTTGGGTACTATTCCAGTCCTGAATGAGAGGCGGAACAAGCGTGTCATCACAGGAGACAACTCAGGTGCACAAGCCTTTAGAACTATAGCTGGTATACCATCAGGTCACTAGCTTTGTTTACGTCTAGACTTCACAAGGTATTAAGAACCTCCTTGTTGGTGACACGGACCTCTGACATAGAGGTACCGCAGTGAGGTAATTGAGATGGTACGCTGTTGCTACTGTCCAGACGCGAATTGCAAGCAAAAAAGTCCGCTTTCTCCTTAGGTGCATGCGCCAGTGAGCCATCTGGTTTTACCAGCGGAGGCAGTGAAAACCGACAGAAGTTTGTCTCGACCGCTTTGGCGAGGAACCAAAAAGCTCTACTACCAGATGGTTTTACAGAGAGCTTTGTACCGATGCGTATAATGCGGTTGAAACTGGCTTGGCGTAATGCCTTTTTGCAGGACTTGGCGGCTTGGTTAAAGGCTCTCTTCTTAAGGCTAACATCCGGAGCTTTACGGTCTCGAGCATCGACCCAGGATAAGTACGCCATATGCTTGTGCCTTTCAGCACGAGCGCATTCGGCGTTAAAACATGGGCGAGCTTTACCACCAACGGGCACGTCAGCAAAGGGGATGAAATACTCTATCGCTTGACGTATCACATTGGTTATGGCATCCGCGCAGCTCGACGGGTCTTCAGAGAAGAAGCAGACCTGCCGCCAAGGATAAGATGCAAAGAAATGCCGCATCTCATTTTCTTTGCATCTCATCCCAATCTGCTGACTTGTATGCACACACATCGTCGCACTCCGTGGAAATCGAAGTTAGGTGGGGGAATATAACGACACAGATTTCACCAGACAGTGGTCAGAAGTTCCCAAGGGTGAGGTAACCTGAACATCGTACCTGTCTGGATCTAGTCGCTTGTTGTACCAGCTGGGAGAGCCCCAGCGACAAGGCAAAATTCCACGCCTCTCTCCCAGCGTGGTCGGTCTTCTGGTATGGGAACAGCCAGTCCTGATGACAGGCATTAAAGTCCCCCAGAAAAACCAACTGTGCATTAGGGTACCGATTTAGAGCCACATCAGCGGCTTCACTGAAGTGTTCAAACAGCCAAGTTGTCTCCTGGTCACCGCTGTGCGATCGGTAGACACAAGAATAAATAATTTTATCCATTTCTGCGTTCTATCAATACCCAGATCGTAGAGAAAGAGGGGTCTTCAGGGTGACGGAGATGCTTACAGCAGATGTCGTTGCGGACGTAAACACAGACTCCGGCGCGCTGATGGAAATTATGCTCCCATGTGTACCTGGGGTAGACAAGGTACACCGCATCTATAGGACATCTGATCTGCGTCTCGGTCAAGAAGAGTAAGTGCGGCTTGTCAGTCTCAAGGTGGTAATGGACTGCATTGAGATTACAGTGCAGACCTCGGATGTTTGTGAGGTGCACTTTGATGGAGAGGGAGTGCAACCGCTGTACAGACTTACTCTTCTTTTTCCTTTTTTTCATTAATGGTGAGAGTGAATAGGTTGAGAGAGTGGCAGTTGAACGAGGCGTCACACATATAACCTAGGGACGCCATGAGGGAAACCATGGAGATCGCGGGGACGCCTGAACCCCCCGGAAATTGCTACCAAACCCTCTCCTCCGGTCGCCAACCGGCATGGTGGAGCCATCCCAGGATTTTTCGTAAGATGGCGGGGCAGCCTTTCATGAGTGGCTGTCTCATTAATTGGGCCCCTTACTATCTACGTTCGGCCAGCGGTGCAACCGTGCTTCGGATCCCGCTAACCTCCATAACCAGGCACCTGACACTAAGAAACGGCCGCGTCGCAGCCGGTTCGTATGCGCAACGCAACTGTCCAGACCCATTCTCCCTAAAAATGGGTTTCACCTAACATCATACCGGAACACGATTTGCATCATTTGGCGGTATGTTTTTGCCAGGTGGAGCAACCTACCACCAGTATGTAGTACTGCTTGTTTAGCACTACCCAGGGGATACGTGTAGGGAATCAGGATTCAAGTAATTCCTACGGACGCGAGCAGCTTCATCTCCCAAAATACTGCTGCCTATCTCCTTTTTTTATAGAAGAGGGGCAAACGAGCATGCGGCTCATCTGATGGTAAGTGACTACCGCCGCCCATGAACAACCGCAAAACTAGGGGAATTGCAGATGCGTTGCCGGCATTTTAGAAGGTCCTAATTTGTTTCCCACTGTCGCCTCTTACGACACCCATGGAACGATATATGGGGTAGTGGACATTCTTACATCGCCACTACACGACTCAATTTAGGTCAAATGTAGTATGTCTTTTCAAAACTAGACTAAAGAACAGGTTTTAATAAAACAGCCAATTGTCTTTTGATTTCTATAAATATAGATTGAATAATACTATAACATTGCTTATAAATAATATCAAGAATTAAATATATCACAGTTGGTTACAACATCTTGGAGGACAATCCTAACTCTAATTGTAAATCCTGTATTGATTCCTTCTTCAGGAGAGGTTTTCTGTCATTCTCTTTTGTCTTTTTTAAGTGCTTTTTCTTTGTTAACCTGTAAGAAAATAAGAAATAATAAGATCGAGAGATATCAGTTAAAAAGTTAAAGCTGTCAAAACAAACGCATATTGCAATTATATGAAGATGAAGATTTTTTTACGTGGTAGAGCCATGCTGCAGCTATATTAGTAGTATAGTTGTAGCACGAATGGGTCGGCTCGACCGGGGAAGGACCACGCTCTCACAGAAAACCAGCGTAAAATAGCAGCTTAACGCTGCTGTGTTTCGTATGGTGAGTGTAGAGAACCGGAGACCCTTTTTACTGGCAGAGGCATACCATCTTAGTTCTCACGGGTGACAACGCATCTGCATCTTGAGTCTTTATGGATGATAGATGTAGATGTCTATGGGTCACAGTAACCACTTAACATCAGGTGGACTGTGTGCTCGTTTGTCACCCTATCCTATAAAAAAAAATTAAGATGTATTTAAAATAAAAATATAATATTTTTTGTTCATTATAAATTACAAATTTTTCGAGTGGCAGCCTCGTACCGACAGGTGAAGTGTAGGGCGTCCCCCCACTAGATGCAGGAAGTCGATGGATGCATGTGGCTCAGGACCGTGCTTTGTGGCATTCCTTGGGGAGGCCTATGTTCAGCAGTGGACTTGTGAAGGGCTGTAATGAATTAATGAAAAAAAAAACTGGTTCGGAAAAATCTCTGGAGATAATAAGAACCATATAGACAGAGAAAGGACTCAGCGTTAGCCTCACAAAAGTGACCATTCTCTAGAAAGAGACAAAGCGACTGTGCGCCAATATCTGTTTCTTTCCTGCAAGCCTGATCGGTCCACGTCCTGCGAGCCAGTGACGTGGAACAATCAGAATTCGAGAAAGAAACTACTACATAGGCTGCACTAAAAGTATCGGGAATGGAATATTTCGACTGTTCCTGTCATATTAAAATCTTTTTAATTGAAAACTCCTTGGTTTTAAAAATCGAATACCATTTATTTATTTCAAAAAAGAAAAGATTCTAGGTTTTGTCAAACTTGTTTAGTCGTTGAGAAAATGGAATTGACTCGAGAAAATTCAAGAGCGATGATTTATTAGGACTTTCGAAGTGGTTGACAAAAACAGTGTGTTGACTGGATGATTTCTGCATTTGGTGATGAAGCCCCATCCAAAACCACAATTTATCGCTGGTTTGCGGAATTACAACGTGGACGTGTCTAGCTCAGTGATGATCCCCGTCAAGGTCGTGCAAAAACTGCAGTCACCCAAGAAAACGTTGATGCAGTGCGTAAGATGATTGAGGAAGATCGACATGTGACATACCGCGAAATTCAGGCAACTTTAGACATTGGCATGAGTCAAATACAAATAATATTGCATGAACAATTAGGTGTAAAAAAGTTGTTTTCCCGATGGATACCGCATTCGCTCTGTGAAGAGCAAAAAGCGGCTCGCGTTACTTGGTGCGTCAGAACTCTCGAAAGATTCCACGCAGGATCCTCAAATGCTGTATACAACATCGTATCAGGTGACGAATCCTGGATATACGCGTACGAAGCCGAAACAAAAAACCAGTCACGAGTTTGGGTGTTCGAAAATGAGTTAAAGCCAACAAAAATTGTTTGTTCACGGAGTGTTGCAAAAAAAATGGTGGCCACGTTTGTCTCCAAAACCGGTCATGTTACGACTATTCCTCTTGAGAGACAAAGAACGATTAATGCAGAATAGTATGCTAGCATTTGTTTGCCACAGGTCGTTTCTGAACTCTGTAAAGAGAACTGCAACCGCCGCATCATCCTCCATCACGACAATGCGAGTTATCACACCGCACACAGAACAAAAGAGTTTTTAGAGAAAGAAAACATAGAATTATTAGACCATCCGCCGTACAGCCCCGACCTAAGCCCTAATGATTTCTATACTTTCCCTAAAATAAAGAATAAATTGCGTGGACAGAGATTTTCATCACCTGAAGAAGCTGTGGACGCCTACAAAACGGCCATTTTGGAGACCCCAACTTCCGAATGGAATGGTTGCTTCAATGATTGGTTCCATCGTATGGAAAAATGTGTCAAATTACGCGGAGAATACTTCGAAAAGCAATAAATACATTTTTAAATAGTAATGTTGTGTCACTTCCTTGATTCCCGAATTTTCAGTGCCGCCCTCGTACTGGCCGCATATTCGCTTTGTCTCTCTCGCATTTTTCGGTCTGTAGTCACTGCATAACTGAATACGGAACGCACAGTCCACTATGATAAGTACCTTCAAAAAATTCAGCCGGCAAAAGACGTAAGTGACAAACGAACTTAACTTCTACCTGATGGCTGCTGGAGTCCATGGTCAACAGCAGCCATCTTGACAAAAAGCAGGCTACAGATGCGTTGTTACTTCTGAGGACTAATAATATGGTATGCCTCACAGCCATAGCATAGTTGGCTCTAGCTGAGATTCGAACGCAGGACCCAAAAAGTGACTAGATTCTTTAACTACTAAATTATCCTAGAATCGTATTATGACTATGCGGCCAAAATAGAAATATACCTGTTAACAACACCATCAGGGAGATCCATCATACGTATGATGTCGGCCTGGTCGGATGAGTCCAACGGGGCCACGGATATGTCTCTTACAGCTCTGAATTTACCGCAATTGTTCAAGTGCTCGTTTTCAAGGCGGAAGAAGTTCCAGATGAAACGTCTGCAAAAGAAATTTATAACATCATGATCAATATAACTTTTTAATATAACCCCCTCCTCTATCCCCCCTACCTCTACAAAAACGATAACCGCGGAGTCGTTTTACATAATATTAATAACAATTACACATGGAAAAAATCTAGAATTATTTTATAGAAGGGCGATGAATGAACACAACCTCCTGGCTCGTTTTCATGCTGTTTCTTAAATAAGTTTTGTAAGTAGTTTATATTTTTCTTATACAGGCTGTTAGTGAAACTCTCCCGAAAACGAAGATAGACGATAGTACTAACGATACCTTTGAGGATGGGTTAGAAAGAAATTCGATCCCGAGGAAAATAAAATCATCTTTTCACAGCGTTCTATTAACTTTATTCACGCTACATCATGTTAGTACTTAGTATAGCTAAATGAAACGATAACTAAATAAAAAAACATGAAAATACTTAAACATAAAATCAGCAGTGAAACTTAAAATAAAATCAGCTGACAATAGGGTCAATATACTCGCGGACGCCGAACTCTCATCTATCTCGGTACGAAACAATGCCTACTCACTCCACCCTTGCCTTTCACACACGCGCTACCGACGCCCGGCCGGCTCGTGTCGCCTCGCGCTGTGGAATTTACACATGTCAGCTTTGCCAACATGTGGGGAATTTAAAGTTAGTTGGGGATTGGTATTATGCGGGGAAAATACGGGGATTTTGAAAATCGATAGCCAGGGCCAAGTCAGAACCTTTTTTCAAGAAATCTAAATACTTATTGTTACGGCCCACAGCTGCCCCTGCAAAGGTCGCCTTGGCTAGGGCCCATAGTAGCCTCCTCGACAGGCAGCCGAGTGTTCGGGCCCAAATGGCCTTATGGAGGAATCACCTATCATACTTCACTATAGGGAGAAGGCTAGGAAAATAAACAGTACGTACCTGGATCCGAATCTAAGACCGCCCCAAGGCTCGGTCAGGCCGTAGGTAGAGTAGATGCATGTAAAGTAGTGTTTAGTGGTGTGTTTATGTAGGTGACCTGGCAGCGGCCGATTTCCATGCTGCCCGACAATGCTGCATCACTCCAGCAGGCGTCCCCAATGGACAACTTCTTTCTTCATTGTCACTATTTCAGTCTATTAACTTTATTGTACATTTAACTAACTTCAACTCGCCTAATTCAACGTTCATCGTAGAATCGAACACATGATACCCGACACAAGTAACGGACAGTAGTTCAAAGTTCAACATTCAATGTCCCGGATTCATTTATCACCAAATTACAAATATGGAACTAACGCGATCTCTTCATGAGTCACACGGTTCAGCGTTACAAACACAAGTAAGCTCCTTCGTTCGATATTAAACACCACGCCGCAATAAGAATTCAAAATCAACCTAGCTGACACATAAACTAGCTACCGAGTCAACACACAAAAGGCTCTTAACGCGACGGTATAATTAAATGATGATTTCCAAACAATCAACCGGGAGACGCCCTCGAAAAGGAATGCGCGGTTCGAATTCTAGATCGTATATCTACTCGGCGCGCGCGCGAAATTCCACTTCACACGAGCAAGTTAAATATTGCAAAATGCACTTCAACACGCAATCACTATATAATTTGCGCAATTACTTTCAAATGAAATTACTTTAATCAGTCAAATACAATACAAGCCTCTTGTCACGAACTTAAAACCTAGACAAACTAAACCGAGGCGGTTTTCACGAAACCACAATTACGTAGCGAAGTAACGCGCACAAATTCTAAAAATCTAGACCATAACCCAAAACCGGTCGCGCGAAACTTCTGCAGCGGCCACCGAGATACGTGGATTAACCGCACCGCTGCTCTGAAGCTACTGCGAGCTATTGACTCTCGCCCGCCAGCGCCAAACGCTGGGAAGCTGCCTTCCGCTGCCCCCTCCCCACGACGCGCGTGACACCTGGTACCATCGGGCGATTTGCTAAGTCGTACGTGATTGGGTGGCGTCTCAAATGCCTATATTTGGCCAAAACACTTATCTTAACATTTCCCTTTTTTAATTATCTTCATTGCACCACTTTTAATTTTCGGATTTATTTCGTCAACTTTTGTGTATCATTTAATGCTTGTCATTTCTTTAATTTTTAATTTTAAAGAAAAAGAAAATGTTAGTTAAAAAGTAAATCTTATAAAATTTGTTGAAAATTAATTAATTTCTTAAATTAAAATTGAGGGGAATTTGTGGGGAATCTATTGAAGTGTTGTCCTTAAATTGGGCAATTTGATATTTTTCGGGTAATTTGACAAATTGGTGTTGGCAACTCTGCCATGTTGCACCGAAATATAGTTTGCTGGCGACAGAAGAATTAGAGGTGGCTATCACTATAAAACTTGCAAGTAATTTTTAATCATTTTGACGTACCTCTTTTTAAATTCAAAGTATTGGTCGGATTAAAAACGGAAAGTCAATTAAAATAAAGTAAAAGTATTATTTTTTACATTCATTCTGATAGATTAATTAACTGTCGATCATAATTGTAATTCATTTTAACTATTCAATTATTTAGTACCATTTCATTTCTATTTTCTTATACAAAATCAAAGATAACGATGAAATAGTGTTTATAATTGTGTAAGTGAGTACTGAGTAGTAAAGAACTGCTTGTTGCGTCAGGGTACAATTTATTGTGTAATTGTATTAAAAATGACAACTATAAGTTCTAAATTCCATATGAAGACTAGTCGTAGGGTAAACTAAACTTCTAAGTAAAATAAACGTTGGCAATGTCGTAACGGCTTAACGGTCTGTGGAAATGCTCAAGGACGTTACGACGCATGAGGCATTTGTTTTGGCAGGATTGATTATTAATTTTAGTTTTGAGACAGTTCCGTGTTGACTATCACGTGCGCGTGAGCGACAGTTCAATCGTTTTGTTTATTACATTCTTGTTGTTACGTTTTGTTTTCCTTGTTTTGTTTTAATAATGCCTAACGCGTAGGTACGTTTATAGTGTTCGTGAATACGGCAACATGTTAATGTGCCTTGAAGAATCTCAAGCCCACGGATGATTAATATCGGTAAGCTGTTTCATACCTATTTTTTTAAATAATTAAGTACTGAACTCATCTGAATAGGTACACAACTGAATACATCAGAATAATAAACATACCTACACGATGGATAAAAAGCATGACTCTAACCTTGTTAACATTTCATTTAAGAAATGTTTTATTAGCGGGGAATCGAACCAGGCATTTGGTTTATTTAACCTGTGAATAAAGTGGCTAGGTGGAGACAAGCACAGTGGCAAAATAGTAGGTTAAGTAGATAAGGTAGGTATTTAGACAAGTGTTGTAAATTATTAGGTATTGTGGTACCAGTGTAGGGAGCAGTGCGGGAGGTGATGGAATTCTCCGAACATTTGTGTTTTCATATTTGTAATTTGATTTTTGTAGTCGTGAAGTATATCACAGAGTGAATACAAGAGGAGGTGTTATGATTAGATTTGACTATGTAACAACGCGTGACAATTTGTGGGGTGAGGGGATGTTAAACCCCGCCCACTTTACTAACTAACATCTATCGATAAGTAGTAAAACTACTCGAATCGTTCCATATCGATGTTGCACATTGCATTGTAGTTTAGCTACCTTGACGATAGATGGCGGCCTGTTCACAAAATGATTATAAAAACTACAAAAATAATATTTTGGCGATTAAAAATTCTTTAGGACTGAATGTATAACAAATTTCAACACCTTTGTATGATCATTTTACCAATACTGAGCTCTACGTAACTTTATATTTTTAGTTCCCATGACATAAAGTGTCACCATCTTGTGTCGAATATATTTAAAGCAGCTCTCTGCGTCGGTTTTCAAATGTATTCTCAGTATTCTAGAACCTTTTTAATAAATTAGGTATAAAATTACTTACGAATGAAATGTGATGCCGTCCATAGCATCAGAGCGTCTATTTGAGTAGTTTTTACACGATGAAAAACAATTTTCCTTTTCTTCTTAATACTACGAAAACACACCGATTTGCGATTTTCGACACATAAGCGCACAGGACGAACGCTGACAGTATACTAAATAAAGCCACGTCCACTGTGATGACGTCAGGACTTAGTTAGAATCACAGTGCACAGTTGCTTATGCCATCTCCTCTTTGTATTTGCTTCGTGAAGTATATAATATTATGTATACGGTACCTCAGTTGTTAAAGAAGTTGTAACATATGTTTTTGCAAATCGGTGTAGATTTTGACGTTCATAAGAACTTTCCACAATCCTAAAATGAATAAAAAAGTCTCCTTCATAATATATAATTACCTGAATACTTCGAGCGGCGCCAGTATCGACACCATAGTTTCACTGCCCACTAGTTTATTCTCAGTCAATACAAACGACCCCATCCATATGAAACGTAAAACAAAGTCTTCCACTATCGCGAAGTAGTAAAACTGAAAATATAAATAAGGAAAATAAAAATACAGAGCACATTATCAACAATAAAATATAAAATGATTTATACGTGGTAGAGCCATGCTGCTGCTATATTATTAGTATAGTTGTAGCACGAATGGGTCGGCTCGACCGGGGAAGAACCACGCTCTCACAGAATACCAGCGTAAAATAGCAGCTTAGTGCTGCTGTGTTTCATATGGTGAGTGTGAAGATCCCTTTTACTGGAAAAGAGGCATTCTCATCTTAGTCCTCACGGGTGACAACGCATCTGCATTTTAATTCGCAAACGAAGATAGATGTAGATGTCTATGTACCACCGCAACCACTTACCATCAGGGGGACTGTGTGCACGTTTGTCACACTTATTCCATAAAAAAATGAAACAAAGGCCCGAGACGCCTGCTAATGCGGTCGACGATCATGGCGATTACGGCAACCGTTCTCAGATATGGGGGAAGTCCATTACCTACCTAACAGACAGATTAATAGGAGGTTTTATTCCATCCTCTACTATACCGGTGTCTCTATATATAAAAAGTCTCGCTAAAACTCAATAACCGCCCGACCGATTTTGATGAAATTTTTCGTGTGTGTTTGAATGGGTTCCTTGATGGTTTAGTTTCACATTTGGACCCGGTAGGTGGCGCTGTTGTCCAGATCCAGATATCACCCGTACGAAGCCGGGGTGGATCGTTAGTTACTCATAAAAATCGACATTATTTACGAAATGTTTAAGTAGCGCTCAGAGTTTTGGCGCGAACTTGACCGTTGACTGATTGTTGCTCCTGTTTCATTATTTAAATAGTAGTTTGAAGTGCATGTTGAAACGTAATAGTGATGAGATTTTGTGTATTAGGTGTGTACGCCCGTGAACTATTAGTGGAAACGACGAAACAGGTGCTTCGATTCTAACCTCAAGTTATTTTGTTCGCATATGCGCCATAAGAACTTGCCATAAAAAACTTGCGTCCGTAGTTTTTTTTAAATTATAATTGAATTGTTATCGGGAAGATTCTGATGCCCATTTCCTGTTTCTGTTTGCCTCTGTTGCCTCTTATGAAATCCACAGGATGATATTGGGTGATGGTTTCCCTTATGCCGCCACTACACAGCAGTGTGTTAATAATTATACCCACACGAGGTGAACACCAAGACGATTTCAGTGTACCACAGGGCAACATCCTTAGCCCACATTAATTTCTTGATCATATTAATGTCATTTTTTATATTAGTTAGTTTTTAATAGATAATACACGTTATATGCTACATAATATAATATGTTTTAAAAGGCCGGCAACGCATCTGCAATTCCTCTGGTGTTGCAGTTGTTCATGGGCGGCCGTAGTCACTTACCATCAGGTGAGCCGCATGCTCGTTTGCCCCCTCTTCTATAAAAAAAATTGTTAACGACAACCAATGGGGAAAGAAGATTTTCGAGTAGCCTTGTACCGACAGGTGCAGAGGCTGGTGGAGTAATTTTTAATTAAAGTTCGATTGTAGTTCATCCCCCAATAGATTTTTCAATTACACATATATTATAGACGAAACTATTAATATTTACAGTTACATTCTTACCTCAATTTCTAAAAAAAAAAGTTGTTGGGCGTCCCTAATAGATCTGTTAATCAGACATATATTCTGGACGAAAAGGTTTGCATTTATAATTTAAGAAGTTATATTTCACTAGAATTTCTAAAAAAAGAAATTAAAAATGGACCAGTTTTGAAAAAAAAACAACAATATTTTTAATTTCAAAAAAGTAGTAATAACCGTAAAGAGTTACTATAAAAAATTCAAAGGGGCTAAATTATTGAAAGTTTATCCGACTTACCCCGGGGCTATACACGATTTCCTCTCTTAAGAATTTGTTCTCCGCTGACGGTCCACAACTGAACAGGCCCCAGTCCATTTTCACATCCCACGTGTACGTATACAAAGATGATATCATTTGGCATGCGAACCACGCGTATAGAAACGGGTTGTCGTATGGATCGGAATAGTTTACTGTAAAACACAATTGACCATATTTTTTTCTGACTTAGGTAGTCTATCAGGTAACTCTCTCTCTTTTCTTTCAATCCACAACTATTTATATTTTTTCCATAGCCATGATAACCTATCAAAGCCTACTGTTGAACGTAGAACGTTATCACATTATATTTGCCATAGTTGCCAAGCTTGACGGGCAGATTGGCAACTACAGTACTTTCATTATAATTAGGTTGTTTTCAGGGAGACGCCAATTTTCATCTCCTGTTTCGGTTTCCCTCTGTCGTCCCCTGCGACACTTACGGTATGACTTGGGGTAGTGGATATTCTTACACCACTACTATACAATCACTTTTAGAATAGAATGAATGTTCATTGAACATGAGAAACCACATAATATCATTTTATACGTGGTAGAACCATGCTGCAGATATATTAATAGTATAGTTGTAGCACGAATGGGTCGGCTCGACCGGGGGAGGACCACACTCTCACAGAATACCAGCGTAAAATACTAACTTAAAGCTGTTGTGTTTCGTATGGTGAGTGTAGAGAACCGGAGATCCTTTTTACAGGAAACGAGGCATTCCATCTTAGTCCTCACGGATGACAACGCATCTGCATTCTGATTCGCAAACGTGGATAGATGTAGATGCCTATGGGTCACAGCAACCACTTACCATCAGGTGGACTGTGTGCTCGTTCGTCACCCTTATACTATAAAAAAAATATTTTCATCACTGGTTCGAATCATCATCATCATCATCATTATAGCCCTTCAAAAGTCTACTTCTGTACAGTAACAGTAACAGTGCAGGACTACCCCAAAAGAATGCCCAAAATCACGGTCGTGAGCCACCTGCATCCATCGATGGCGAAGAAAGGTTCTAGAGTGTGTGACGACCTGATTCGAATAAATGTAAGAAATTATTATGAATTACAATTATATTGTGATTTAAATTGGAGTCAAGTAAATATAGACTCACCGCTGTACATAATCCGAAGAGTAGAAAAGAGCACTGCAAAGAAGGTGGTGGAATATTTTCCGGCGTTGACCAAATGCGGGAAGGCTTCCCGGCTGTCCCTGTATCGGCGCAGGCATTGCCAGAATCGGGTCCACGCCGGGACTATGTTTACCAGTGCGCGAGTTATTATGTACCATTTGTTCGATTCAAATGTGTCTGCAAGTATATATAAACGTGGAAATTAAATGAAGTATCCTTAATTTTATCGACGTAAAGGGAACACACAAATGCAGCACGTCTGCGTGACGTGTGCACTGCTTAATTGTCAGCCTTATATTTATATAGTATAAGGCTGACAATTAAGCGTTCAGTCCACCAGATTTTACTTATATTTATCCTCGATTACACCCCTGAGGTATAGGAAATGTGAAGTTTTCCATTCCACATAGTGTCATCAATAAAAACTACTGCCACAGCGCATGAGCTATCATCATCATCATTACAGGCACGTTCACCAAGTCTACTGCTGAACTTAGGCCTCCTTCAAGGAATGCCACAAAGCTATACACAGCCATGGGCTATACACGTATCTAACATATACCTATGTAACACTTGAGCTATCATCATCATCATCATCATTACAGCCCTTCATAAGTCCACTGCTGAACATAGGCCTCCCCCAAGGAATGCCACAAAGCTATACACAGCCATAGGCTATGCACGTATTTAATAAATATTACTAAGAATTTGGCTTTACAAAATATCTATAATCTAAATATTAATAAATAAGTATTTACACACTCACCATTGACATTATACCAGTCACCGCCCATTACATAGAAGGCGACTAAATAGTGGAAGTCCAAAAACGCGGACGCAAACGAGTTCCATTGATCCGCCAGCCAGAAATCCGCAAACAACACCGGCATAAAAGGGGCTACTAAAATACGACCCTAAGGAAATATAAGATATTCTATATTTAAATAAATTTTATTCTCTTGAATTAAATATTAGAATAAGGGTGAGAAACGAGCACACAGTCCAACTGTTGGTTAATGGATGCTGTACACCCACTAGATGTTTTCAAGTAGGATTCAAAATGCAAATGCGTTATTACGCCTGTGTTTTAGACTAAGATGTTATACGTTGGTAAAGGGGGTCTCCGCGGTTCTGTACACTTACCAACCAAAACGCAATACGCATTATTATTGCAGCATTATGCTGCTGTGTTATTATTAAAATTTATCATTTATATTAGAATGTGTTCAAGTTCTTCCTCGGTCGAGCAGATCCATTGGGAGCCATAATAAAGTCACAGCATATTTTGACCAGTCTGGAATTGTTAGTAGAGTTTATTTCATTTAGTAACGACGCGTATACTGTTTTTTCTGTACATTGTTCATCATCATCATCATTACAGCCCCTACAATTCCACTGCTGAACATAGGCCTTCTACAAGGGATAGTACAAAGCACGGTCCTGAGCCACCTGCATCTATATACAATTTTGGTTCGGACAAATTCCTTGGCCCATATTTGAAAACTAGGCAGTCGTATTATATTTAATACGTTCTCAGGATTGAGAAGTTGAGACAGCTTCCGACTTGGCAACCCATATCCGATACTTAATGGCAATTTCAAGTGCAGATTTATAACGGTGGTGGTAACATTGCAAGGGGGCCGACATATCAGAAATATTAAAGATGCGAGGACATTTGAAGGGAACACACAGTAATACGCTATACGGAGAGCACGGCAAACGCCTCCAAAACACATTGAGAGGAAACTTACGCCTAGCAACGTAACTGTACATTTCTACAAATATCCTAAAATCATCAAACCTACTTTCTCAACCATTTTTCAGCAGAATTTGTAACCTTAATAACTTCGTAGATAAAGGTCCGCTACTAGAGGTATGCCTAACCCATATGTATTTGCCATAATCGCGATGCTAGGTGAATTGGTTTAGATATTTTAATAGGGTTCCGTACCCAAAGGTTAACTAACGGGACCCTATTACTAAGCCTCCGCTGTCCGTCCGTCTGTCCGTCAGTGGGCTGTATCTCATGATCCGTAATAGGTAGACAGTTGAAATTTTCACAGAATGCGTATTTCATGTGTAACAAATAATAAAAATAAATTAAAAATTAAACGGGGCTCTCCTACTAGACACGTGTTTTACGATGGCACGGAACCCTTCATGTGCGAGTCCGACTCGCACTTGGCCGGCTTTTGTTAGTTACATTCTGAGGTTTGGATAGAGGGGGATTTTATCAAATTTTCTCAAATGTGACCGGCATGCAGTGCAATAAATAACGGAAGAAGCTTTGGTCAAAGAAGATTAAGTAAAATTTCACAGACTGATGATTTAGGGGCAGCATTACGTGTAATAGGGTATCGGGTCTACGTTCACGAACTCGCGTGCACAGCTTGTAACTAATTCCCCTTCACTAGCTCGTAATAGTTTACTACTGGACATAACCATTAGAAATTGACATAATCACCATGCTTGGTGGATGCATTAACGAGTGCTCTAAAATACTTTTTCTTTTTAATAGAATAAGGGTGATACAAACGAGCATACAGTCCACCTGATAGTAAGTGGATGCTGTGGTTCATAGACATCTAAATTTCTCCTCAAGAATCAAAATGCAGATGAGTTGTCCACCCTGAAGACTGAGATGGAATGCCTCGTTTCCAGCAAAGTTTCCGGTTCTCTACACTCACTATACGAAACACAGCAGCATTAAGCTGCTATTTTACGCTGGTATCCTGTTAGAGTGGTCCTACCGCGGCCGAGCCGACCCATTCGTGCTACAACCACAATATAACTGCAGCGTTTCACTGCCATGTATATAAACGTCTTACAGTTTTAACCCTGTTCTCCATAGCTGATATGGGTATTTTACCTTTGACATATTGAGATGGTCATCATTTACGCTGCTCTTTGCGATTTCCTACAGTCGCAGCTTACAACACATATGAGATTGTGACGATGAGTGGTGATGAAGCCACATGGTGTTATTTGCGTGCAATTTTCTACGGACATAATTAAGAAATATCTGCCAACTATCCATTATACGTAACATTGTATTATAATATCAAAACCATGTAATGGCGATGTAAGAATATCGACTCTTTCATATCGTCCCGTGGATGTTTTGTGAAGTGACAGAGAACAATAAATAGCAGCAGCATGTTCCTGATGACAACTTAAATAATAAAAAAACTGCGGTTGCCAACCCACCTGTGCGTAACGTGGCAACTACGGCTAAATCGCCATAAGGCAATCTCTATGGGTAAGGTCTAAGTTTAGCAGTGGTCTTTTATAGGCTGTCATGCATGGATAGATGTACTATTATATCTAGAAAATCTTGGAAAAGTAGCTAAAAGAACTAGCATCTAGCAAAGGACTTGAATTATCTGGTTGTGACATGTTATGATAATAAACTTAATGAAATAAAGTCCAATTATTAGAATAGAACAGCGTTCGACACATAATAACATACAACTAGCAATAATAATAATAATATAACATAATGTGAAACTTACACATATCCTCAGAAACCAGAATCTCGCTTCGTGCCTGAACACTTTTAAAGGGTTGACGAGAAACACAAGCATGATTATCACTAAAGCCAACGGGTTCACAAAGGGCGGTATGCTGAGACTCGCACTGTATATAAAACTCAGTATACTCAAGGCCCAAACAACGCCAAATATAGCCGCTAATTCCATCAAGTCTTGTTCAGATAAATGATTCCTGGGGTCCAATTCGAATATCAAAACGTGGTTGACTCCTGAAGAACGCCATCCGTATACATTTATGCCTATTAGAAATATGAATTCTACTAAAAGGAAGGGGCCTCGGTACAACCGGAAGGCAGTTTTGAAGTTTTCTGTTGCACCATCATGAAAAAGAGCTGAAATAGAAAACAATATTTTGAGAATTTTAACAGTTTTTTTTTTTCATAGGAAGAGTGACAAACGAGCGCACAGTCCGCTTGATGGTATGTGGATACATGCACTATCGTTGGCAGGTGACAAGCACAGACAGGGTGACAGGCATGAGACTACATGCATGAGTACATGAACTCCTATACCTGTCACTGAAAGGGTCGGTTCGCACTACGGACTTCCATTTCACCGCATACATATTCGAAAAGTAATATGGGCAAATCTTTGAAATAATGCAGGTCAGATGGCGCAATTTTGAAAGGGCATTGTTGGCTATATAGTAAATCTGTTTGCTTTCTTAGGCAAGATTTCTAATATTTTTTTTTATTTAGAATAGAATAGAGTTGAGTTTGTATATTAAATTGCTGAATATTTTGTATTTGGGGAATGCTCGGGATGAAGTAAAAGGTAAAGTAAAGTGGTGACATAAGAGAACCCACCACCACGTAGAAATGGGAATAGAAATAGGAGATCGACAGCAGCATCTTTCTTTCATCTTCTTAATAATCATTAATAAAAGTAGTAAAATTAAAAAAAATTGTACAACCGATCTTAATATAAATAAAATGAGAACATCATCTAAGTAGTCGCAGTCAATTACTATTAATAAATATATACGCATTATTAATGATAACTCAAAAACTACTGGTCAGATCTTGATCATTTATATGGGACCACGTGAGAAGAACCAGCTTTCAAATAAAAAAAGAATCATCAAAATCGATTCACATAGAAAAAAGTTCTAAGGTAACAAACAAAAAAATACAGTCGAATTGAGAACCTCCTCCTTTTTTGAAGTCGGTTGGAAAAACTGTATGCCAGTTGTGGACAAGTAAAGCAAATATCCCTTGTATGAGACCATCTATGGGGAGGTCTATGTTCAGCAATAAAATAGGCTGTAATAAATTAATAAAAGACCTAATAAAAGTTAATGAAATTAAAATTTATTATTCTACTCTACGTCCGCCATCAAACACTGGAGCAGCACGGGGACTGATTGCCCATAACCCTTACAGAAACAGGAAGTTTCTACTACATAAGCACAATCAGTATATTTACTTTACTAATTCCACGCATTACACCCGTATTTGTAAAACTAAGTCATGTTTTATCATATCATTAGCAATAAAATAATAAAAAACAGTGTTTGGAAGTGTCTTCCGACGCTCCTTATATAACCGTGTTATAAAATCGGTACACCTCTAGCACAATCTAACCAAATTTATTCTAGGATTAACCACAACCATGGTCAGTATTAACTGCTGTGGAGAGATAAGAGTACAATGCACAGCGTTTAAACAAAAACAATTTATGGTATATTTTATCACGTAATATTTGTTATAACAAACACATTGTGTGTTAATACCGTAATAAAGGGGAATTCATTTGACAGTGTAAACGGCTACGCTCTTAATACTTGACACTTTTTTTTATAAAATAAATGTGACAAACGAGCACACAGTCCCTCTAATGGTGAATAGATGCTATCGCTAATAGACATCTACATCTATCCTCGATTAAGAATCAAAATGAAGGTGTAAAAGCCCTTCATTTCCAGTAAAAAGGGCCTCCCGTTCCCTACACTCACCATACGAAATACAGCACCATTAAGTGGCTATATTACGCCGGTATTCTGTGAGAGCGTGGTCCTTCATTGGCTGGATCCGACCCATTCGTGCTACAACCATAATATAGCTACAACATGGCTCTACCACGTCAAAAATCTTCTGCTACGTATGAATTGTTGTATTTAATCTCACCGCTTGGCAGGCGATCACAGATTTTTACCATTTAAACCAGTGCTTGACTACTATCCTCATGGCAGGTGAGATACGTATGCATATGCTTCTCCCTGTCGCCAGCCTGTTTTAGATCTTTCTCGTATTCACATTTTTAGACACCCATGGGATATAGAATAGAATAGAAAGCATGATGGATAATTTTATATTGCCACTACAAAAGCTAGTTTCATTCATTCAACATCACGTAGTGGTGGTGTAAGAATATTCGCTACCCCATATCGTCACATGATTGACGAAGAGGTGACAGAGGGAAACAAACTAGATGTGTTGGATGTATGAATTAATGAATACCGTTACCATTATAGCAAAAGTTCACTGCTGAACATAAGCCATCCCCATAGATTGTTATGCTTCATAAAGTGTCGCGGAGAGGTCGGCAACCGCATTTTTTTAGTTGTTATTAGAAAGACGCTTACTATCTCCCGCTTCAGGTCCCCTCTATCGCCTTTTACGAAACACACGTGACGATATGGGGTAGTGGATATTCTTACAACGCCGCCATATCTACGTTACATTAGAGTTTTTAAAGACTCACCTGACAAAACAACTGTGATAAAAAGCACAACAAACGATCCAGAGAAGAGTCCCACTTTGAAAGTGGTCCACGGGCTCTGCTGCTCGCCCAGTGGCGGGACTCGGAGCTTCTTCATCGCCTTCTGTCTGTCGCCACCTTCCAACTCGTTGGTGACCGTCGCCTCGGTGTCACTTATCAATCTATCGATGTCTTTGTTCGTATAGAAGTGCGAAGTCTCGACGTGTTCCGCCCGCCATTGTGCACCATTGCTAACGTTTAATAACTATTGACAATAAATTGCAGATCTTATATGTTTTGAAAGGGATGGAAAGAACTTTGTAAAATGACACACATAAGCTATTCGTCTATAAGGCTCCGCAAAACTTCTGTCTTTCTGTTTCTATTCGTCTGATTATATTCTATTTATTTTATACTAATGACCCGACCAGCTTAGGCTGGATAGGATCTATTAATGTGGCGTTATTTATATTTAAAAAAGAGACTTCATCAAATTTGTTTTAAAAAAAAACTTCAAGTTTTTGGATAAAATATAGCCTATGTTTCTCCTGGCATTGCTCTCTATCTATTCGTATATTTTTACTAGCTGTTCCCCGCGACTTCGTCCGCGTTACTATTGGATTTCATGGGATTTAATGTTTTTTTTGCGCGGAACCCTAATTCTTTTACTTAAATTAAAGTAGCCTAAGTTACTCCTCATAACATCAGCTATATGCCAGTGAAAATCCCGTTAAAATAAGTCCAGCGATTTCGGAGATTAGCCGGAACAAACAGACAGACAGACAAAAATTTTAAAAATAGTTTTTGTTATAAGTACCGTAAATACTTTCATATGCATTTAGTAAAAAGCTGTTATTTGACATTACAAACACACACTTCAATTTTATTTATTTGTATAGATTACAACCGGTTTAGCCAGTCCGAATATTAGCCCGGACAGACAGACAGACAAACAAAATATTTAAAAATGGTTTTTTATGTCTTAATAGCATGTAAACAACTCCTTAAGCTTAAGAGGATTGTGAAGTGCCGATACGCGACGCGAGAAGGTATTTTCAAAAATGCTATCTGTTTCATAACGCACGCTCTGCCTCCCGCCGGGCTCCGGGCGTGAACAACACAAACACAACATATTATTACACTAACTCTCACGTACACTACGATACCAGCAGCAGGAGCGTTCATTCATTCATAGCCTATATTTACGACAAGTTACATAATGAATTTGTTTGTGTTACTTTGCAATTTTATTATATTGCATAGTCTATGTAGACGTGGGGACTTACTACATATACCTCATAGAAGTGGGTTGTTATTTTTTTTATGTAAGTATCTACCTATATACTATGTGAGTGATTATGAGATGAGTATTACATTCATTCAACTAAAATAATTTTATACATTTTAGAATAGAAGAGAAAGATTAGAGACAAAACTAAAAAAATGCAATTTGCTTCGTAAATCGAAAGGACGGGCAACTAACTTCTAAAATCAACAACTCTGTGCTCAACAGGTAAGTAGGCGTACTTACTTACTTATAATAAATTATACTTATAATAAATTATGCGTACCTTACCACCTTACATACTATTGTATGTACATTGGTTGACTGGTAGGAGATAGACCGAAATTTATTCCACAAAATATAAAAGTATGGGATAGCTGATTTGACTTCAAAAACGGAGGGGGTTCTATATTCGGCTGTATGTATATTTGTTTTACATATTAGTTCGAGAAAGAGTGTAATATATATAAAGTAATATGTAATAATAAACAATAATAATTTCTTCAAGTTGTTACTTTTTATTTATTTGCCTACATACTTTATTGTAAACTCGAAATATTTTTAATTTAATGTCCTTATTCAGTAAAGACTAAATTAATAACTAAATAATCGATAAACACTGAATAATATAATATACAATACTGAATAATAACATAATAATATAATAATAATCACAGACATTAACTTTTTCATGAGAGGTATTATCTTTCTAGGTTATCAATATTATTTTATCCTCCTAGGCGATAATAATATCGATAACACCTCTAAAAGTTACAGCCTATATACACGTCCCACTGCTGGGCACAGGCCTCCTCTCATTTCTGACAGGGTTTTAGGGCAAGGAAAGGTCCGCCGCGCTGTCCCAATGCGTGTTGGCGAACTTCAAATGTCTTCGAAATATATATTTTTTCTTATTTGTTAGACATGCAGGTTTCCTCACGATGTTTTCCTTCACCGTCGAGCACGTGGTAAATCAGCACTTAAAATTGCAATTCGGGCGGGCAATTTCGGCGGGGATCGAACCCGGGTTTCTCGCGTACCTACTGTGAAACTTATAGCGAGCGCTAATCATCTGAGCTACCACGGCTCCAACACCTCTACAATAACATCACTACAATATGCCCCTGTCCCCCGACCTGTATCGTGCGATAGAGAGTTGCAAGTCTTGAAGGCAATTGCCTACATTTTCTTTTTGAAATATTGTTACGGCGATAACGTTTTTACCCCCCTAAAACTTTACAAAATAAGACAATTTTGGTCTTATTAGATTTAGTACACTTTAATCTAGGCCTGTACGTTTTACTTTTTTAGTAATCACTTTAGTTTAATTTAAAAAAAAAACGCTCGAGGAAGTTTTTAAGTCAAAAATATAGATATTTAGATGCTTATAACTTCTATTGTATACAATATTTCTTTAAAATAAAAACGTACGGGTCTAGTTTTTGTTATATCTACAACATTTCCAAAAATTATTAAAATTGGACTAAATTTACGGGGGGGGGGGGGGGGGGGGACTTTATCGCTTTTTGTATGAAAATTTACAGCTTCACAATCCTCTTAATAGAAGACAGTTACTTCAATATTACAGGCAGGCACTTAAATTTTATTTGTGTATAGATGTATAGACTATATACGCCTCTCTAGTCAGTCAAGAGTTATTACGATGTTAGGCTACCATGCTCATCAATTTAAGCGACAATGCAAACTAGTGTTAGTTCCAACATTGGTAATTAACGATAAAATCAATTTCTTATCGTATTTTTTATTTTATCTCTGCCTTATCATAGCTGAAATAAGTACAGAGAATTTGTTAAGGTTAGAGTTTTAAGCAAAACACAAATTGGTGGTTAACGGGTCTAGTAGTGTTGTAATTTTCCCTATGTCCTTCTCACAGCATTCTAAGTTACATTCGATACTATAGCATAAGTTTTTTTTTTTACATCAGGCACATGCGTATATCTATTTAAATAATGTTTTGTGGGTTATAATAATTTTTAGCTGCTCTATATATCTTATAAAATCTCAAACGTAAGTGATTATTCACAAACAATACTGCAAGGCTCAATCTTGGGACCGTTGCTCTAAGCTTCTTTTTTATACGATATTGATACCTGATTCTATCATACAAAATATTTAATGTACGCGGTTGCAGACAAAAATATACATGAAGATTAAAAATCACACTGATTGTATCAAGCTTCAATCTGATCTCGATAGATTAACACTTGAAAAGCGTCGTATATTATATGACATGACATTTATGCATAGCTTTTGTAATGGGCACATCAACTGACCGACTTAAGTTTTCAAAATTTTCTGTCCTAGAACCAGAACACGACAGACAAACAAAGCTTTTCGCAGTAGCACGTGCAAAAACATATGCCCAAAATTAATTTGTCTCTTGGATACATAGAGAATATAAGAAAAAAAATCACACTGTATACTGTACTGATACATTCTATGTAAGTAAACACTTTGTGCGACAAGTTTTGAAAATACTTAATGATTAGGTATTTTAAGTACGCACGCACGCACGCACATATTACACTATATTATTGTATAGTTTTTATAATATTTTTCAAACTTTTAGTATTTATATAAGAGGATAGAAGGGAATGAACAATAAAAATAAACAAAAGTTAGTATTTGTAGTCACATGCAATTATTAATTGATTAATTAAAATGAACATTCACTAAAGATGATTAACTGAGAATGAACCATCTAATATCCCACTAATGATCGTTCTTACCTTGTCGTGCTTCTTCAATATCTTTCTAAAGCCGGTATAGTTCAGATTCTGGTAATTTTGCAGCAATATTAAGCTCAAGTAAAATTCACTGAAGGCCAACTTGAGCTCCTGAACCTTCCGCCGCGATATCGCCTTTTTACTATCACCGCCGCCTCTGGGTTTCATCATATTGAATTGAGACTTGAGTTCGCTTTGTAACGTTGCAAATTTACGCGTAGCTTCCGCCAATTTCTCTGAAACAAACATTGTTATTATATGGGCATTTCTCTGTTAACTGGGCAACTCGTTGTCTCAGGCAGATATTGTATAAAAGAAATATATATATTAAATATTGCATAGTTAATTCTATAATATAATTAACTATGCTCACATGCACGGACGCACGCACACACGCACGCACGCACGCCCCGCCTTAATCGCCTCGCTTGGCAGACAGACTGGCGATTGTAGAACCAGATGTCTCGCACCTTCAAATTCACCTAAGATTTCTATTTAAAATGAATAAAAATCTTAGATAAGTGTTAAATATTCTGATTCTGCTTCCCATCTCTAATTTGGTATATAACGTCTGGAGTATACAGGAATGATGTTAAGTATATACTGCCTTCTATCAGGATCTATAAGTTCTTTTTGGCTTATCCCAAAGTAACAGTAGTTTTGGCAGCACCCACACTCATACGACACCCACGGGACAAAATGGGGTGACTAACTCATACATTGCAACCCCGCGGCACATGAAAAGCTTTATCTTAAAGTATGGTAGTTCATCTCAGACATGCCAGTTTCCTCACAATGTTTTCCTTCACCGCCGCATACTTGGTAAAGCAGCATTTAAAATTGCAACTAACAATTTCATTGGTGCCGGCGGGGATCGAACCCGGATTGCACGCGTACTGTGAAATTCACAGCGAGCACTAAGCCCCTGGGTTACCAAGGCTCTATATAAAAATAGTCCTACTATGTGCTACATCTGAAGTTCGCCAACACGCATTGGGTAGCGCGGCGAACATTTCCTTTCCCTAAGAAGTAAGAGGAGGCCTGTGTCCAGCAGTGGGATGTAATATAAGCTGTAACTTTAACTTTTATGGCAGTTTATAAACGCAATGAAACCTAAGTACCAACTCAACATACCTGAGTAGAAAGTATTGATTTTCTTGAGCTCCTGATCACAGTAGTGAAAGAATGTCTCATCGAAGTTGGCAAAATGTCTGGAGAGAACTTCAGGTTCAACATTTTCTGCTGATGGCGCTTCTTCCACTGCGGTGTATAACATTGCTTTCATCTCCTACAAAATGACCTATGTTCAAATCCTTACATATAGCTCACATCCATTGAAAAACGAAAATAACTTTCAAGAACATTTTCTTATATTTTTTGCATGCATACTGGTTTTTAATAAACTCAAAGGAAAGGTACACATTTCATTTAAATTTGCAACTGAACTAGACAACAAGCCTGTATTTTATGTAATTTAGCATCAATTTTAAAGACCACACAACACAAAAAACTTTACATTGGTAAAGTTTATATAATATATTATAGTTTAAATTATATATGTGCAAATATATAATATTGGAGTGTAAAAACTGAAGTAAAAAGAAAAATGTTGTGAAACATGAGTAAACATGGACAAAATATCAGATTGCCTATTAAAATTAGAAGTAATATTCAACCTTATTTCATTATCCTAAGGTTCATCTGGTAATAAATTTTAAATAAAAATTGCTGCGATAGTGTTGTGCCTCGCCGATATTAAAGTTTTTGATAAAATTTTATCTCAGTCCAGTTTATTCACTAACATATTAATGAAAATGTGCAAATACTGGATGCCTATGAAAATATACGAAATTATAGGGTGATACCCTTGAATGAACATTTTTGTTAGGGTTGTTAAGCCCCATAAGTAAGTAGTTTATTACCTATTACTCATGATACACATTAGTATCCAAATTCACTATCGTCCTAAATTAAATATTAAAGTGCGAAAATGACAATTTTCAAATAAATATGTTGTGTTATTTCAATGACAAAAAACAATTTTCTAATTTATTGTTTTTTTTTATTATTCTCCTTGTTTCCATTTCAAAAATAGTCACTATATTTATTATTATTTATTAATTTATTTAGCTCATTGTTAATAAATATCTATTAACACAAATAATTATATGCTGGCTATATTTATTTATTTCATTTATATATTTACCTATTTATTCATAAAACAATTTGCATTGTGTTTCAAATGATATAATGCACATAATAAATATACATGGAAATATTCATTATATAACTAGTTAAAAATTGTGTTAAAACCAAACTAGATTCATAAAATAATTCATTTCTAATTTTCTGTTATAACACAACTCAGTGTACAATAAATATATGTCAAAGTAAAAAATAATAAAACAATAAATAAAGATTAAATTCAATTCAATATGTCAATAAAAGTAATTAATACTATGTAGATCATAACAGCAATTTTTAGGGATGAATTATGTTCCATCACGTATATCCCATATATTTTCTTATAGTTTAATATTGACTGAATATTGATAAGTCAGATCACATTCAGGCCGAGTAATTTTTTTTTATAGGATAGGGTGAGAATGGAGCACACAGTCCACCTGATGGTAAGTGGTTGCTGTGACCCATAGACATCTACATTTATCCCCAATAAATATGCAGATGCGTCATCACCCGTGAGAACTAAGATGGAATGCCTCTTTTCAAGTAAAATGGGTCTCCGGTTCTTTACACTTATCCTACTAAACACAGCAGTGTTAAGTTGCTATTTTACGCTAGTATTCTGTGAGAGTGTGGTCCTTCCCCGGTCGAGCCAACCCACTCATGCTACAACTATACTACTAATATAGCTGCAGCATGGCACTACCACTTGAATAGACATCACTAACATCATTCATGTAGCAGTACAGTTTAGGTAGAGCAAAGTCAACGTTATGTTTATGTATATTATGCCTATAATAGCATTAATTTATTATTGCAACATCTAGTGTCATAAAGATTTTTTTATAGTACATAGATAAATAGTTAAAGGTTTATAACATCTCAAATAAAGTTTATTTTTACTCTACTCTACTGTTATAAATTATGAAAGATAATAAAAAATAGTAAAACCATTTAAATGTAAATTTCCAAATACCAGTATTATTATATTAAATTAAATCATGGAAAAAAATCTAAAGTAATAAAAAAATAAAGTATATTTTAAATAACAATAGGAATAATTGAAATAACTACCTACAGTAATTTCAAAATTCTATTTATATTGGTTGCGGGTCAATCAGATAATGGTAAAAAATAAAAATACTTTAGAAATATATATTTCACAGCTAAATAGCAAAGTGCTGATACACCTAGGTTTAAACAACTACAACCAGTAGTAATAGTTGTAGCTGGTAGTTACTATTACAGTTGCAGGACCAATGGGTCAGCTGGATCAAGAAAGAACCCTGCTCTCACAACATACCAGTATAAAATAACAGCTTAATGCTGCTGTATTTTTTATTATGAGTACAAAGAACTGGAAATGCATTTTACTAGAAACAAAGCATTCCATCTAAGTCCTTAGCAGTGACAATGCATCTGCATTTTGATTTTTATTTGAGGATAGATGTAGATGTCTATGAGCCATAGTATCTACTTAAGATCAGGTGAACTGTGTTTTCCTTTGTCACTCTTATTCTTTAAAATAATATTTCTTCAATGCTAGAATGACTTGTGACCTTCAATAGATATAAATAATTAGGCCTACTAGTACATTTTATGACACAATACTGGTTACATTAATTTATAGTATTTGAAGAATAAACCTATAAATTCTACATTTCAAGAACACTGTGATTTAAAAATAAAAAAACGGAGGTATGTAGTTATTTAGGATGTCACATATTTATATTTACCTCATAGTTTATGTATTGTTTTCGCCACTCTGGTGTAATATGCGCACTCAAGTGCTCTGCGAATTTCATTTTAGGAATTTCTTGGACACGTCTTAGTAATAAGAAAGACCACACGACACTACAATACTACGTACCACTACTGTACTTCACAAGTTTCATAAAAAAGTTTGTTTTATGATAACTGGATGATATTATGACCTAATGTTTGCTAACATTAATATATAAAAACATTGGAATGGTTAAAAACATGCGCTTACTACACTTTAATATATAATACATAATATGAAAAAAATAAAATATCAAGTAAAATACGATTTTGCAGGTACAATGTAACTTGCTGTTGATTAAAAACCTGACACTGACTGATTAAAGATGATAAAAGATAATGAGTTTCAGTATATATAAAGGTACTCTGTGATAATGAGTGACAATGACAATTGTATATATATTATATACAATGTCAAACAATGTACTCTGTGATGACATGACGGTTCGTTTATAAAGATAGTTTTTGGTTTTTGTGTATTTTTGTCTTTAATCTTTTAAATACTTTATATGTAACACAGAACTATAAAAATAATAATATAGAAACAGAAACTTTTTTATTCAATATAGATTATAAATAATACTTATTGAAAGTCACTCTTTTGTTTTATTAGGCCGGCCACATACATGCGGAATTCCGTTTCGAGATTCCGTTTCGGAATTTCGAACGGTCGGCCACACACAAACGGAATTCCGTTTTGCCCGCAAAATATCGAACGGAAAACTACCGTACGTGTGTGGCGAGTCATAGATTTTATATGGACTTGCTGCGTTCGGAATCCCGAATCGGAATATCGAAACGGAATCTCGAAACGGAATTCCGTATGTATGTGGCCGGCCTTACCGCTGGTTCAGAAAAAACCTCTGTCCTGGGAAGAACCAGCAAGAAACCCAGCGGGACTTTTTTTTAAAAAATAACAGCTTACAATCATGTATGTTACACACATTAACAACACAACAAATTAGAAATAGATTGGTAGCGATCACCTCATTTCCAGGGGTTATTATCATCCATAAATTCTTCTTTTTTTTTATAGGATAAGGGTGATAAACGAGCACACAGTCCACCTGATGGTAAGTGGTTGCTGCGGCCCATAGACATCTACATCTATCCTCTGTTACAAATCAAAATGTAGATGCGTTGTCACCCGTGAGGACTAAGATGGAATGCCTCATTTCCATTAAAAAGGGCCTCCGGCAACCCGCACTCACCAAGCGAAACGCAGAGGTAAACCTTTACTTCACGCTGGTTTTCTGTGAGGTCGTGGTACTAGCCCGGTTCGACCCGGCCCATTCGTGCGACAGCAAAAGCTGCCACGTGGCTCTACCACTGTTAATATTATAATATTAACAGTGGGATGGTCGGGTACAACCAGCTCAGAGTAAGACGGGAGTTTGCCCTGGCTGCACAAGTAGTGAAGTTGCTTCGTGGCGCAACATGCAACCCGGGGTTGTTGCGCCACCTGCAGCTGTGCGCACCGGACCGGTACGTGTGGAGGCGACGCCGCCCGCCGCTGCTCGCGGTGCCCGTGGCCAGGACCAATTTGCTTAATAACTCACCTATAGTTCGATTAATCATAGTAGTGAATAAAGTTGATGAGAGGATTGACATATTTTCGAGTAATCTGAGTGAACTCGCTAAGGTACTTTTATACATAGTTAGTTATGTAAGTTAGTTGTAATACATAGTATATTTAAGTAAATTAGTGACACTATCGTATTGGGTTTGTTTAGCCTGTAAGGATAGTTGTTAAGTGTGTGTGTGTAAATAAATAAATAAATAATAACCCTTTTTATACAAACTTAGTTTAATAAAGTTTTTGAACTTTGAGCCGGTCAAATTTTGCATATTTTCTGGAATTTTGTTGTAAAATCGTATACATCGCCCCAAGAATGAATTACTGACTCGATGGAGTCGAGTAACTGGTACTACTAGCTTGTGTCTGTTCCTAGTATTTACAGAATGAATATCAGTTATTTTTGTTAAAAGTAATTTTATTTTTGTGTACGTACATTACATTCTCATAATTGTATAGAGAGGCCAAGGTTAATATATTAATTTCCTTAAATTTTTTGTCGCAGGGACTCTTTAGGTTTAAAATTATAAATTGCTCTTTTGGCCCTCTTCTGTAAAACAAATACAATTTCAGTGTCAGCTGCGTGTCCCCATAGCAAAATACCATACGACATTACACTATGGAAACAGCTAAAGTAAACTAGTCTAGCTGTTTCAACACTGGATAGACTTCTAATATTTTTTACAGCATATGCTGCAGAACTAAGTCTGCTTGCTAGTTTTGATATATAGGGGCTCCATTGAAGCTTCGCGTCTAGTGTGATTCCAAGAAAAATGGTGGTATCTACAAGACTCAGTGTCTTCCCATTTAAAATTACATTAGTATTTAATTGTTTGACATTTGGAGTCATGAATTTCATACATTTCGTTTTAGTGCCATTTAAATGCAAATTATTAACATTGAACCAATTTACTAATTTAGATATAGCATATCGTGTCCAGTATAATATATATGTATTGTGTATGTGTTTAATATATTATGTCCAGGCCGTAGATAACAACTGGCCACACTTAATTATGGGGATGAACACTTGATGAACACAGAAAACTATTATTACTCTCTACCGAGGTTTAAAGAACCGCATTTGAGTACTCCTAGATATAACCGGCTAAGCCTAGTCGCGTACACCCCCCACACTTCGACTTTTGGCCATAATCCATACCATATACAAAGTACAATGTGATATAAAATTAACTATTTGTCAAAGAGTATATAAATGGTAGAGAATGCCATAGGGCATTAAGTCCGCCCTTTGTAACCCCTAGTTGGTGTGTTGCAATAAAGGATAAATAAATAAAATAAATCGTTACGTTATCGTACGTTTATTATTCATAAATTTATAATAATGTCTGTACATACCTACCTTCTGTATACTTCTGTCTTCTGTACTTTAATTATTATTATTTTTGAAGTGAAAACTTCTTTAGCATCGTTCTGATTTGAAACTCGACGAAACGAAAGAGCGACACTAAAAAGAGACAATTGTATATGTTATAGTCAAAACTCATAACTGGTTAAAACCATTTTTTCAAAAATCAGGCAAAAGTAATTTTAACTAAGAACGTTGATCACTAACACTTTTAACAGATTTTTGCGATCAAAAGTATTTTTAATTAAGAACGTTGGTCAAAACCCCCTTAAACTGCAAAACATATTGGGTAATAGAGATTTTGATCAAATTATATCGATCCAAATTATAGTGGTTTTGACCTAAAATGTTAGTCAACACTACTTTTGACTTATACTTTTGAATTTTTAAAATTAAAAAGTTCAACACTTTTAATATTAAATTTTATATCATTATAATGTACGCGGCTTTAGGCTGGCTCAAGGGCCACCCCAGCCGCATCTTAACCTACTGTCACTGATATTGCGAGTCTTGACCGATAGTCTGAACTTTAAACCAGTTAAAACCGCGTCTAACTGAGGACATTAGTCTAAACTACTTTTGACTACAAAAATCAATCAAAGCTGTCTTTGACTAAGGGAATCGGTCAAAACCAGTTTTGCCTGATTTTTGCAATCAAGCGGTTTTGACCGGTTATGAGTTCTGACTGTAACATATACATCTGTAGAATTTAGCCTGGGAGAGAATGAGATAGAATCAGTGTAATATGCGACAGTAGCATAATGGCAAGATGCGGACCGCGAACTTGAAAGGTTGCGGGTTCGAATCACATGCATATTTTATTTTAAACGGTGGTGACATCGAGAGGCCGAGTCTACGAGTGTTTTCGACAGAGTAAAAGTGGAAAATCTACAAGAAAAAGAAAAGAAAGAAGAGTATGTAGAGAAACTGAAAGAAAGTTTTAAATGCATAAAAGAGATAGGTATGATTGAAGATTTGTGGGAGATATTTAAGAAAGGGGTCATGAATGTTGCCTTGAGGTATGCGGAGTAGCTAAAAGAAGGAAAGAAAGAAAGAACTATAATGTGTGGATGGATAAAGATGTACAAAGTGTTGTGCAAGAAAAGAAGAAAGCGTGGTTGGATTTGTTAGCAACAAAAGCTAACCAAAAGGTTCAGAAGGCAACGGATGACGAGATAAAGGAAGCAAGAACGAAGTATAAAAGATTGAAATCAGCAGCGAAAGAAGTTATGTCTAGAAAGAAAGAAGAACGAAATGATGATTTCGATAGGAGGCTCACTGAAGATTTCCAGTCAAACATTAAGCCAGAGGAAAAACTTCTACCTCGGAGCTGAGTACAATCAGGAGTGAAGATGGGAGCATTATAAAAGAAGAAGAATGTGTGTTAAAGTGATGGAAAGAGTATTTTGAAAGCTTGTTTGAAAGAGAGGAAGTGCTGGTACAGCATCCGGCACCTTCCATGAAAACTAATATAAATGTTGATGACAGTGAGATAAGAATTGATGAAATAGTGGAAGCGTTGAAAAGTATGAGATTAGGTAAGGCTGCAGTGTATGACAGGATTACCGTCGTAGATGCTGAGGGCTGGACAGGGCATAGTAGCTAGTCAGCTGTACCGCCTTTTCAATTTGTGCTAGCGAAATGGGCAAGTACCGGGAGACTGGTTCAAAGCCGTAATCGTTCCACTGTATAAGGGAAAAGGGTCACGGCAGGACTGCATAAATTACCGCAGTATAAGCCTTCTCAGCGTCTTCGGTAAATTGTATGCGAAAGTGTTGATTGAAAGGGTTGTGAACTTGTGAATGAAACAGATGAAAAAGTATGGGATGCACAAGCGGGATTTAGAAAGGGAATGGAATGTACTGATCAGGTCTTTTCCTTGCTTTTTTTTTTGCTTTTCATAGTCGAAAAGTGTTTGGCTAAAAACAAGAAGGTCTATTGCGCGTTCGTAGATCTAGAAAAGGTATATGATAGAGTGGTAAGGAATGAATTATGGCCAGCACTGAATGGTTTAATATCGAAAAAGTAGTTGATAGACAGGGATGTGTAGCGTCACCGTGGCTGTTTAATCTGTTCAA